AGACAGAGTCTCACTTTATTGCCCTAGGTAGAGTGCTGTGACATCACAGCTCACAGCAACCTCCATCCAGCTCTTGGGCTTAGGCGATTCTCTTACCTCAGCTTCCTGAGTAGCTGGGACTACAGGTGCTCACCACAATGCCTGGCTATTTTTTGTTGCAGTTTGGCTGGGGCTGGGTTAGAACCTGCCACTCTTGGTATATAGGACAAGCTCCCTACCCATTGAGCCATAGGCGCTGCCCAAGGGGGGTTCTTTATACATTCTGAAATTAATCTCTGACAAGATATATGATTTGTAAATGTTTTTTTTTTCTGTTCTCTGGATTGTTTTCACTCTTTTAATAGTGTCCTTTGATGCACAAAAGTTTTGAACTTTGAAGTCCAAATTATCTGATTTTTCTTTTATTACTTGTGCTTTTGGTATCATCCCAGAAATTACCACCAAATTCAATCTCATGATTTTCCTGTTGTCCTTTAAGCATTTTGCAGTTTTAGCTTTGAGGTTTCCATTTTTGATTCATTTTGAATTAATTTTTGTATGTGATATCAGACTTCAGTTTTATTCTTTTGCATGTGGATGTCTAATTATCTAGCACCATATATATATATTTTTTTCTTTCCTTTTTTTTTTTTTTTTTTTTGAGGAAAGGTCTTGCTCTGGAATGTAATGATGCAATCACAGTTCACTATAGCCTTGAATTCCTGGGCTCGCGCTATCTTCCTACTTTAGCTTCCTGAGTAGATGAGTCTACAGGCTCTTGCCACCAAGCCTGGAGTCCAACTGTGTTGTCCAGGCTGGTCTTGAACTCTTGGCCTCATGGAATCCTCCCATCTTGGGTTCTAAAGTGTTGGGATTACAGGCGTGAGCCACTGTGCCTGGCCCAGCACTGTATTTTGGAAAGACTGTCTTTACCCTGTTGAGTGGTTGTGGTACCTGTGTTGAAGATCAGCGGGTCATGTGTGCAGGTGCAGTGTTTTTTTTTTCTTTTTTGCCAGTTTTTTTTTTTTGAGTAAGAGTTTAACTGTCACCCAGGCAAGAGTGCTATGGTGTTATACCTCACAGCAACCCCAAACTCTTAGGCTCAAGCAATCCCCTTGCCTGAGTAGCTGGGACTATAGGTGCCTGCCACAATGCCCAGCTAGTTTTTCTATTTTTAGTAGAGATGGGGTATCACTCTTGTTCAGACTGGTCTTAAACTCCTGAGCTCAAGAGATCCACCTGCCTCGGCCTCCCAGAGTGCTGGGATTACAGGTCTAAGCCACCATAGCAGGCTGACAATTTGATTTTTGTAAAAGATTTACAAATGGCAAAATACGTATTTTTAAAGTGTACAGCTCTATGAATTTTAACAATTGTAGATTAGTGTGACTGCCCTGCAATCAGGACACAGAACAGCTCTGTCCCCAAAGGTCTCCCTGCTCCTTTTGTGGTCATGTCTTCTCCACCTGACACCCACTGTTGCCAGTGGGTGACAGAGTTAGACTTTTTTGTTTTTGTTTTTGTTTTTGAGACAGAGCCTCAAGCCCTGGATAGAGTGCTGTGGCATCACAGCTCACAGCAACCTCCGACTCCTGGGCTTAAGCAATTCTGCCTCAGCCTCCCAAGTAGCTGGGACCACAGGCGCCTGCCACAATGCCCGACAATTTTTTGGTTGTAGCCGTCATTATTGTTTTGGCGGGCCCTGGCTGGATTCAAACCCGTCAGCTCAGGTGTATGTGACTGGTGCCTTAGCCACTTAAGCCACAGGCGCCGAGCCATGTCACTACAGTTTTGTCTTTTGGAAAATAGCATTTAAGTGAACACTTACGGTGTATAACCTGTGGGATTGGCTTTCCCACTCAGCGTAATCCTCTGATGTGTTGGCAATTTGCTCCTTTTTGCTGAGTACAGTTGGTATAGGGACCACCACACCTTGTTTGGCAACCCTCCTGTTGAAGGGCGTCCTGGGATGGTTCCAGGTTTTGACAGTTATGAATAAAGCCACTATAACAATTTGTGTACGAGCTTTCCAGTAGACACCAGTTTTTATTCCTCTGTGGTAGATGTTTAGGAGGGGGATTGCTGGGCAGTGTGCTGAGAATATGTTTGACCTCCCAAGAAACTGCCCACACAGAGTTGTGCCACTTTGTGTCCTGACCAGCAGCAAGTGAGAATCTCAGTTGCTTTGCCTTCTCCTGGACACTGCCAGCACCATGCTTCTTCTTTTTTTTTTTTTTTT